GATAGCTTTTTAACAGGGTGCTCCTAAATTAGGACACTACTAGTTAAGTAGGTAGCTCCTATTTTTACTAGGACGCTGCATGGAAGCAGGGTGCTCCTACATAAAAACAAGACTCTACAAAACAGTAGGATGCTCCTTTTAAACAGAATCCATTTCTAGAGTTTTGTTGAGGGTGAAGAGTTCCCCCTCAACCTGTGAAGCTCTTCTCAGAAGCAAGATGAATGTAATGTTGTTTGCCTGGATCTTTAGTGTAGTTCCCCCTCAATTAAATGTCCTTCAATTGATATGTTGAGAATACCAATTGATAATTCTTTGACACCATTTGATACCACTTTAAGATCATTGATATCACTTGAAATGGAGAGTACCACTTGATGTCAAAAATTGATGACGAGGAATACCTATCAGTCTTCTGGCATGAACATCCTTCTTCAAGGTAGTTCAACATTCAGGAGCTTGCTTTGAGAAATAGATGTGCTAGGTCCTTCTTTGTTTCTTGAAAAATCCCACTGTTTGTAGACATCATCAAAATCTACTTTCAATGCAATAGGATCCTAACAATCTTGTGTGATGAAGTTGATGCTGGTTCAATCCTCTTGTTGAGACAGAGTTATCTGATTGGGATTGAACATCATCTGATTCACACACTTATACAATTTGGTCTGGAGAAGAAGGTCTTTTCAGCTGGTAATAGCTTCTGCTGTTCCAGGGAGCTGAAATTTTACCAGCAGTTTTTCCAGCAGACTGCCGATTTTTCAGCAGGCAGCTGAATTTTCATCAAACAACTTGGAGTTTGCTGATCTTCTTTAAGAATTCCTTCTTTCCAGTGAGCACATCTTTGATGACATCTTTGAGGACAGATGTCTTCCTTGCCATAGACTGGTGTGTGCTCAATAGATAGCTCCTTGATTATTAACATAAGTTGTGTTAACAATCTTAGAGTTCCAGTTGTATTTTACCAGTCTTGACTTCTTTGTTTCACTCTATGTTCCCTTCTTTTGTTTAATCTTCTTTCTCCTCTTCAGAGCAGTAACATCCCAAGTGATAATGTTTAAACTTAACATCCATCCTTTGATATTCATAATTATCTCATGACTAGCGTTTGCTCACGCAAGGCGTGAGAGCATTTGTCCAATATAAAGTGATATTTTTTTTTGTAAATAACTATTAAATGCGAGATTGTTAGGAGATTCCTTAACAATTAATGAAACATCATATATATTTATAAATTTTCAAATCAATTATATTCCATGACTGTCATGTATTGTGTGGAAACTGTGTCTATATTTAAAAGTATGTGATTACATTTATAATCGAGTTTTGTTTTAATATATGAAATAGTTGAAACATGTATATTACTTCTTTTGAAATATAAATAGTGATTAGTTTATGTCAAAAATATGACTAACCTTTTGTTTAATTAATTAAAAAAAATTCTAATTCTAAATCATATTCAATATCTGCCTCATCCCACACTTGCCAAGCCTTCTCCACCGGGAACTTCCATAGAAAGCCACTATTAGAAACCGCAGACAAAAAAATCGGTGATATTTGCTTGTTTTTTTTTTTTGTTTTTTTTAAATTCACCAAAAGAAGTCACCCGAAAGTTTTTCGTCAGTTATAGTGACATGTTTATCGGTGATAGTGACATTAGTTGTGTCTACTAAAGTTACATTTGATATGCTCCCTTTGTCTCACTAAGATTTTCACATTTTTATTTTTGATCCGTTCTACGAATAAAATTGTTCTATACCAAATTTGCTAGAAATGTTGGTTGATTTTGTGAAAATTAAAAATCTTAGATACTCGTATATGATATTTTTATGAATTAAATGTAGATTGTATAGTACTTCATTATTTAAATAACTTTAGAAAATGAAACAAGACACAACAACAAATAAGTGTTTTCATCCAAGAAATGTTGGTAAGCTTGAGAAGCCGTTAGTTTTGCTAACAAAAGTAGGGGGCTACTTTTGACCATAAAATGTTATGCACATTAATTTCATAGAAGAGTACAAGTATTAATGCATACAAGAGAAGGACATAATATAAGGGTACTAACCCATATTCATAATTATAATGTTTTTAGATATTATCTAAGGTTGATAAATATCAATTAATAATTAATGAAATCATCAGATTTCAGTTTTGTTTATGCTGCTTGAATTCTCCCTTTATATCATTGAATCTCTTCTGAACCTTTTGACCCCAATATCAGATAAGCAGGATGACCAAAGGATAAGTGTTTGGTCATATACTTGGCTTGTCCGGGTATGGATTTTCTGTGGAGAATATGGACAATGACTAGTATATTTTTCAGCTTAGTGCAATGGTTGACTTCTCAAAGGATGTAGTCAACTTGATCTTTGGGATTTAAAGTAGGAAGGTTCTTTGGTATGAGAGTGAGGATAAGGTTGATTATGTGGTGGTGAGGGAACATATAGTTGGTCACTTATCTATGTAAGGATAGGTGTGATAAACATATAGATCAGTGAGTGTTATATTTTCTGGAGTTTTAGGGACATGAAATGTGAAGCCAAATTCAATATCTACCAGTTTTGTAATCTTCATTAGTAATGAACTAAATGAGATTTCTCAGTTTTTATTCCTTCATAAGATTATCCTTAGTCAACAGTTTCACCCTCCTAGCAAAGACACTATTTGGATTTACTGAAGACTTAAGATTTTCAATTTGGTAAAGGAATAAGTTATCTGAATGTTCGTGTGAGTGAAGCACATATGGGATAAAGATTGAACATTCGAGATAAACTGAGTACTGGAGATGTATTTGAATATACCTCTTCATGAGCATATTTCCTTTAATGAAGATGACCAGAATGATGATGTCATGAGAGTAGGCTTGACTTCTTTTCATCTTTGCATAGCAGTCCCTTCTTGATGATGAATCCGGTAGAAAACAGCTTGTGGTCTCCTTTCTTGTTTCTTTTCCTTCATGATAAGTGTCCTTCATGATGTTTTCCATCTCAATCTTCTATAAGTGCTTAGGAAGTTGGTGGCTGATCTTTTTGTTCAAATAAGCCAGTTAAAAACTGACCCTAAGAACAACCGCTCTGATACCACTTGATGAGTGCCCTTGATACCAACTGAGTTCCACGTGAGGTAAAGTCTAGAGAGGGGGGGGGGGGGGGGTGAATAGACTTTTAAATCTTTTCAGTTTTGAACCCCTTTTCCTCTAACTGGATATGTTTCAACATCTTTTGGGAGATATTGATACATGCAACGGAAGTCTTGACCTCAAGAGGATGACATTTTATAGGAACAAAGGTTATGACTCTTTTAGTTGTGAGAGAGATGGGTTAAACATTAACAGACGTGTTTGCCAGAAACAGATGGCTTTGGGAGCAGGCTGCTGAAATCCAGAAGGAGGCAGCTGCCAGTTAGTTTGGGAGCTGGCTGCTGAACCTTAGGAGCAGGCTGCTGCTTTGGCTTTTCTGTTTGGTTGTTTAAAGTATAGCAAAGAACTTTACTCTAACAACTTGACTGACTTTAGAACTAGTCTAACACAAGTGTATGAAGGATTTAGACCAATGGAATTAGGTCACTTTGAAGAACAGATAACAAGGAGATGACTCATAGTGAACTGTGAAAGTTCATTGGACAGTTTAAGTGAGCAAACTGTTTTTCTTGTGCAGTTGTGAAGGTGAGTGAGAACTAAAATAAATGTTAGGTGCAGAATGTAAAGGTGACACACGATGTATCCTGGTTCAGGGGTGGTGTATTCCCCCTACATCCAGTCCCAACCTATTTCAGATGAATTTTCACTAAATGTATATCCCATTACATTTAGTACCTAATCTACCCTTGGCCCAGGCGTAGATTGTGAGTTTTTTCACAAGGAACCTAAACATCGTTCCAAGCTACTCATGTCCTCCCAAGGTTTTTCACTAATGGCATTGACTCGCCAAGAGCTATTCATGTCCTTGCCCTTTCTCACCTTCTGGATTTGATCACCAAGCTCTCCAGAATGTCTAACACTAGTCTAGAATACATGGGTGTAGTTTCTAAACTACCAACTAGTCTAAGCTCTATTGATTTGTATGAATCATAACTAGTCTAAGAGCATTAGACGAGTGGGGTGGCGGCCTAAGTGGAGAAGGGAAATCAGCTGGATGGATTTGAGCGTGTGAAGTATGATTCCCTTCTAACCACTTGGCTCCTTTCTTGTTTCTCCACTTGTTTACAACATGTTTTTCCACACTTGGTAACTCCACACTCCTGTATTTATAGACTTGATCACTTCATCTTCACCGTTGGCTGAGAAAATGAATCTTGACCGTTGCTTGATCTACTTGCTTTGTTCCACTTGACTGAGGCAGCATGGTTTCTTCTTGTCACGTAGTGACACGGATCAACTATCTTCAGCTCAACTTGTTTACACATTTCAATGCAAGATAAAGGATATTTTATCTTTTATTTTCCTACGTAGAAACTAGTATAAAGCCGAGTGATATTTCAATGCTACCTTACAATGAACGAACACTTGCTTTTGTAAAATAAATTTATAAGAAATTCATAGTGTGATAAAAATCTCTTATAAATTTAATTTTTAACAATTTGTTCTTTTGTCTGCAAGTTGGTCTATTGTATAAGTGTTTTGTGCTAAGAGAGAGAGAATTGGATTTCGGATGAGTTAGCTGAAAAACCCAGCTTTCGGCTGGCTGCCAAGCATTTCAGCTGGCTGCCCAGAAAATCGACTGACTGTTGATTTCTGGAGTTTTTCCAGTTGGCTCAATCCTTAACAATGAATACCAGTTAACTCTTTTCGTACCTTTTCTTTCTTTTGTTTGATCATTTTCTTTCTTTTGTTTATGGTACGTTTAACTTCTCTTTTTAGTACTCTTGCTTTTCATGAGTACTTTATTGTCACGCCCCGGACCTCCCCGGACACGTCAACAACCCGCCGTACAATACGAATAGTCAACCGCAGTCCAACACATTCATATTATACAAGGCGTCATGAATATCATTCACACATAAGTCATCCATAAACATACATAATAAACAATTGAATACGCAGCGGAAAACATTGTTTAAAACAAAAGGGCCACACAGGGCAAACATGAGCACGCAGGCTCTAAAGTAAAATATCCATGAGCAAGTTTAATATTATTTAAAAACAGAATGGAGGAAGCACGAACCAAGTCTTCTCTCCAAGGAATCACTCGATCAACGAGCACAGGAAGCAAGCTCTAGCCTCAACCTGAAATTGTGGTGGGACGCCCCCGAAGGGGTCAGTACTCTATACGGCTATAAAGTACTGGTGTGGCAGGCATCTAATAGATATACAACAAGTATTTCAAACACAAGACCCTCAAGTAGGGTGATAGTACATTATGATTGTAACCCTAAGTTACCCATTTGAAAATATACTTACTTTAGGTAAAAGTCAAGTAGTCGGCCCGTGGGCCCATGTTCATTTAGAAATCACCATTCCCATTTCCCGTGGCTACAAGCCACGATACTCAATAGAGTCCAACCCTAACACATGACATTGTATTCTAGAGCTCGGCTCTACTACATCACCATACAATTCATGTCACTCGGGTCAATTCCTTACCTTGCGTTCTAGAGCTCGGCTCTATTACATCACCACGCAAGCCCTAGAGCTCGGCTCTAGCTATACAATACATAGACTACAAGTCTACACCTTACATGCATTCTAGAGCTCGGCTCTACTACATCACCATGCATTAAGGTCCAATTCTCAAGCAACCCTATGCCTAGAATTGACATATCATTAAACTGCCATGGGTCATCCTTAAAGACTTCCCATAACTTAACCTTAGTTCCATACTAAGTTATTATATACACTTGAACTATATTCAAGCACCTTTCATACAATCCAATCCCTAGGATCAATTTAATCAATAAATCCCAATAATCATTAACTAGTATTTCAATACTATTAAGATTATTGCTATCAAACCATTATCCTTGTTATTTGTAATTCTCTACATATTTATAATTATGTAGCAGCAACTTAAACATTCATTCTCAATACACAAATATTCATTTATGTATCCACATAATTCATACATGAGAAAAGTGCCCATTTTCACAAATAGTTCATTTATACTCATTTAATCTCATATTATTCATACCTTCTCAAATCATTTCAAATTTCATTCTTTGGCAACTATATCAATATTTCATCAATATAAAATCATCATAATCCATGAAAAATCATGATTTAAGCATTTAGGTAATCTCATGCTTAACCTACAAGTTGTAAGCAATTAGATGTCAATCCTCACCTCATTTGAGCTTTAAACTTTCCCTTCTTGGTCCAATGGTCAAAGCTTTGGTCAAGGTGGAATTGGAACTGATTCCTTGCTCAAATATGAGTGTTAAACAGCCTCCTCAAAGTGCTAGTTCAACCCTTAATCGTTGATACGAAAACAGCCCCTAGAACGGGTGTTTCCCGGTCAACTCGTTTCCTAGTTTTTCCAAGATTTGTTCTAGGTTAGTATCTAACCTTTACATCAATAAAATAACTTTATAAGGACATATTATACACTTGGATTAGTGTATGATAGTCCCACCAATCGTTCATATCATTTGGAAAATGAAAAGTAAAGTTTTGGGGTTAAAACTCACTTTTAGAAGATTAAATCCTCTCCTGCGAGGTTGTGTTTTGCTCGGACGATTTGGAAGCCTTACACAACTCCGATTCCTTCAAACCAGACCTTCACGGATTCCTCGTCTTGAGAGCTTTCTGTGGGTATCTCACACGCCTTAATTGGATTTGTAAAACTCGAGATATCGACCAAACAGTCTCAGCACTCTCACAGCTCGAGTTCACAGACCTCTGCTCGTTCCAGCTCGATTTTTGTAAGATAAGCCTTCTCTCCTCGAACAAAGACCACTCAATTGAGATAATAGACTTCAAAGGCTATCCAAGGACATATTATTCACGTTGTTTGGTCGAGTATAGCTTCTATAATGAGAGGAGACAAACAGCACACCAATTTGTGCGAAAATAAGGATGGTGGCCCAAGCTTTGATTCCTATCAAGTCATGTGCAGCTCCCCTCCATTATGGCCGGCCAAGGTAGGTCTTCTAACCCATTTTTATTTGTTTTGCAGGTACTAATATCATGTGGAGTGGTTCCCAATTGATCCCATTAAATTTGGGGTCCAAAATATCTACCAATACTTCCAAAAATGGGAAGATGGGTCCTATTGTTTTATCTTTGTCAAAGATGTCTTTTTGTACTCATCCTAATTTATTTAGAACAAGTCAACTTCCTAAATCACATTATTGATCTCCAATATGTGTAGGCTCATCCCAATAATTTACGTGATGGATATTTTAGAAGGAAAATCCTACTCCCATTATTTAGCTCAATAATGCCAAAGATGGGGTTATAGACATTTGTATTCTCCTTTAATCATTCTTTCACTATTTAGGTAATGTTGGGCTTTTTTATTTATTAATAAGTCCCGAGTAAGTATTTGCGAAACCCGACACTAATGTACGAGTTTGAACAGTACGATATTCAACCATGCACTACGTAGAACATTGATCGTTTTACAAAATGTTTGGGAATCGGAAATCCAATACATAAGCTATGAATATTCAAATCAAATTTCCAAGGACATTCGGGTGCGGTGTCACAAGTTCACTCCCCCTTAACAGGAATTTCGTCCCCGAAATTCACAGCTCTACTCGAATAGGAAAGCATACTGCTTCCTCATCAAAGCCTCTGTTTCCCATGTCTCTTCTTCGACCCGATCGCTCTTCCACAGGACTTTAACCATTGGGACTTCCTTGCTCCTCAGTTTCTTCACCTTTCTATCGGTGACCTTGATAGGTTGAACAGAGTAGTTCAAATCCTCACGTACCTCTACAGGTGGCTTCTCCAATACGTGAGAGGGATCATGCACATACTTCTTAAGCATGGATACATGAAACACATTATGTATCTTTTCTAACTCAGGAGTCAACTGTAGACGATATGCCACGGCCCCAATCCTCTCTATAATTCTGAATGGACCTATGTATCGTGGGTTAAGCTTCCCTCGGGTTTGAAATCGAATGATTCCTTTCCAAGGAGAAACTTTCAAGAACACCTCGTCATCAACCTTAAACTCTAAGGTTCTTCGACGCTTATCTGCATAACTCTTTTGCCTATCCTGAGCCGCTTTGAGTCTCTCTCGAATCAATTTCACCTTTGATTTGGTGACCTCAACCAACTCAGTACCCTCGAGTTTGGCCATGCCAACCTCGTCCCAGCATAACGGTGTACGGCACCTCCTCCCATACAATGCCTCGTATGGAGGCATGCCGATGCTTGCCTGATAACTGTTGTTATAGGCAAACTCCACAAGTGCTAAGTGGTTGTCCCAACTCCCCTGGAACTCCAATGCACAAGCCCTCAGCATGTCTTCTAGGATCTGTATAACCCTTTCAGACTGCCCATCCGTCTGTGGATGGAAAGCAGTGCTGAACTTCAACTTCGTTCCCATAGACTCCTGGAATTTCGGCCAAAAACGTGATGTGAATCGTGGGTCTCTATCAGATACAATGGTCACCGGAACCCCATGCAGCCTCACGATCTCATCCGTATACAATTTGGCTAACCTCTCAAGTGGATAGGTAGTGTTGATAGGCAAGAAGTGTGCACTCTTTGTGAGCCTATCCACAACGACCCAAACCGCGTCATAGTTCCTGATAGTCCGTGGTAAGCCTACCACGAAATCCATAGTCACGTGCTCCCACTTCCATTCAGGGATGGAGAGTGGTTGCAATAAGCCTGCTGGGTGCTGATGTTCTGCCTTAACTTGTTGACAAGTAAGGCACCGACTGATGTACTCGGCTATTTCCCTCTTCATTCCAGACCACCAGTAACTTTCCTTCAAATCACGGTACATTTTCGTGCCCCCCGGGTGCATGGCATAAGCCGATGAATGAGCCTCCTCTAAGATGGACTTTCGGAGCTCATCATCTGACGGTACACACACTCGGTCACGAAATAACAAGAGACCATCATCTCTTTCCCTAAAATCCTCCACCGGCCCCGCTTGCATGCGTTCCCGGACCTTCATAAGTTCTTCGTCGGCTTCCTGACCCTTCTTGATCTCATCAAGTAAAGTGGGTCTCACCTCAAATCGTGCCAATAAGGCACCATCGCTGGTTACCTCCAGTTGGGCTCTTAATGCCCTCAAATTAGTTATCAATGCCCCAGACGAGCTCTTCCGGCTCAAAGCATCTGCCACCACGTTTGCCTTGCCTGGGTGATACTCTATCACTAGATGGTAGTCTTTTATCAGCTCCATCCACCGTCTCTGTCTCATGTTTAGCTCTTTCTGAGTAAACACGTACTTCAAGCTCTTGTGATCAGTGTATATGTGACATGTCTCCCCGTAGAGATAATGTCTCCATATCTTCAGTGCAAATACCACTGCCCCGAGCTCCAAATCATGAGTAGGATAATTCACCTCATGCTTCTTCAATTGTCGTGAAGCATAGGCGATTACCCTCCCATTCTGCATCAGTACACATCCGAGCCCTTGGATGCTCGCATCGCTATAGACATCGTACCCCACACCTTGTTTGGGTAATGCAAGTACCGGTGCCTCAGTCAATCTCTTCTTTAGTTCCATGAACCCTTTCTCACATTCGTCATCCCATACAAACTTAGCTCCTTTACGAGTGAGCTTCGTCAATGGCGATGCCAAAACAGAGAACTTCTCCACGAACTTTCTATAGTAGCCTGCCAATCCAAGGAAACTACGAATTTCCTTGACGTTCTTTGGCCTCTCCCATTCAGTAATGGCTTCTATCTTCTTGTTATCAACAGCAATCCCCGATCCCGAAACCACGTGCCCGAGGAAGCCAATCTCCTTTAGCCAAAATTCACATTTAGAAAATTTGGCATAGAGTTGCTTCTCCCGTAGTGTTTCAAGAACAAGTATCAAGTGCTCCTCATGCTCTTCTTCACTCTTTGAGTAAATCAAGATGTCATCTATGAACACAATCACGAATCGATCCAAGTATTTATGGAATACTCGGTTCATCAAGTCCATGAATGCCGCCGGGGCGTTTGTTAACCCAAACGAGGAACTCAAAATGCCCATACCTTGTGCGGAAAGCACTCTTTGGTATGTCATCTTCCTTAATCTTCAATTGATGGTACCCCGACCTTAAGTCAATCTTCGAAAACACGGTTGCTCCTCGTAGTTGATCAAACAAGTCATCAATCCTAGGCAACGGATACCTATTCTTGATTGTGACCTTGTTCAGTTGACGATAGTCAATGCACATTCGAAGTGTCCCATCTTTCTTTTTCACAAAAAGAACCGGTGCTCCCCACGGGGAGTGGCTTGGTCTAATGAAACCGTTATCCAAAAGCTCTTGCAATTGGGTTTTCAACTCATTAAGTTCAGCGGGTGCCATCCGGTATGGCGGTATGGAGATTGGTTTGGTATCAGGCTCGACCTCGATCACAAATTCAATCTCTCTGTCAGGTGGAAGCCCCGGTAGGTCTTTAGGGAAGACATCCGGATACTTACAAACCACCCTCACATCATCGATGTTCGTTTCCTCTTTGGTTTTGTCAACCACGTATGCTAGATATGCGTGGCATCCCTTCCTCATCATATTTCTCGCTCTCACGGCGGATATGATACAACTATTTGATTTGCCGCGGTCCCCCTCGAAGCGTAGGGTGTCCCCCTGTGTGCCTTCGAGTTCCAACACCTTTGTGTAGCAATCTACCCTAGCATGATGCTTTTCTAGCCAATCCATCCCTAGGATTGCATCGAACTCCATCATACTCAGCGGTACGAAATCACACGTCAAGGTTTGGCCACCGATTTCCACCATACAAGATGGATAGTAATTGTTTCTTTCAACGTCTTCCCCTAGTGGGGTTGATACCACTAAGGTTTGTGTCATTGGTATTGATTGCATCTCTAAGCTCTCGGCAAACGCCTCACTCACGAATGAACGTTGCGCTCCGGTATCGATAAGGATTCGTGCATCCTTCCCGTTAATCTTTAGTGTCCCTACATTCATGAACCATGTAAGACATCTTTCCTACCCTCCCTACTCATTTATAGAAGGTTGCAATGTTCACACGCACGTTAGGGATCAAGAAGAGGCCTTAACGTCGCAAAACGATGCGAAAAAATCGGGTTTCGGCAATCTGGGTGCCAGGCACGGCGTGCCCGGGGTAGGCACGATCGTGCCTGGCTCAGGAAAACGCCCTGGGGCTACTGCCTTGGAGGCACGATCGTGTCTGCCTTAGACACGATCGTGCCTGGGTTGGAAAAATCCTGGGAACCACTGACTTGGAGGCACGATCGTGTCTGACTTAGGCACGATCGTGCCTGGTTTGGAGAAAAACCCTGGGCAGCTACTGCCTTGTAGGCACGATCGTGTCTGCCTTAGGCACGATCGTGCCTGGGCTGGGAATATTCCTGGGCAGCTACTGACTTGGAGGCACGATCGTGTCTGCCTTAAGCACGATCGTGCCTGGGTCCCAGCCGCCTGAAGTTGCCCGAAATCCCCCGGTTCGACCCCAAAACCTCGTGCAATGATCCTAGCGATTAGTATCCTCAATTTATGGACTAATTAAGGATAAAACACTAGTATATGAGAGGCAATACCTGCGACGGAGTCCGGGTTAGCTTGAGCATCCGCCTCCGTCATCGCATAGACCCTAGCCTGGGTCCTCCCTTGGTTCACGGATGGCGCGTTGCTCGCACTTGCTCCCCCTTGCCCCCTGCTTGCTTGAGAAGCCCCGGTCTGATTCCGTGTACCCGTCGGGCCACTACTTGGTCCCGATGTCCTTGCCCCGCCCAGTTGTGGGCAATGTGCCTTCAAATGCCCGGCATCCCCACATTGGAAACATCTAGGGGGGTCGCGACATTTACCGGAATGGTTCCTCTTGCAATTGTTGCAACGAGTTACCACTGAGGTCTGTGACCTCGAGCCTTGCCCACTTGGGCCTTGGTTCCCCCTTGATGGTGGCGGTGGTGCCCGGAAAGATCCTCCTCCGTGGTTCCCCCTTTTGTTGGAACCTTGGGAGCCATGACTCTCCCATTTTCTCTTCTTCGCCTCTTCGGCGTCTCTCTTCTTCCGTTCCTCCCACTGTTTCTCCCCTTTCAATGCTTGTTCAACCACTTGGGCGAAAGTCATATTAGGCAATTGCGTTGCCCTATCACGTATCTCCAAGTCAAGAGCGTCCCAAAAGTGGTTCACCATGCGGTTCTCGTCACAAGCATACTCCGGTATGTAGTCGGCGAGATCCCGGAACTTGTACTCAAGCTCCTTCACTGACATGTTACCCCCTTGGGTTAGGAGGGTGTATTCCCTCACCTTCTTATTCACCTCGAAATCAGAATAGTATTGGGCAAAGAACTCCCGTTGGAAGTCCTCCCAAACGACGGTCTCACCGTACTTGTTCTTGGTTCCATCCCACCACTTGGATGCCATCCCCTCGAGCAATCTTACCGCAATTCTCAGTTTGAGATTCGGCGCGATTTGCATGTCAAGGGCCGCTTCATTTAGCCTCTTGATCCATTGTGCTGCCACTGAAATGTCCCCTGCTCCATCAAAGGGTTTGCACCCCAAATCTCTTGCTTCTTTGATGTACTTGGAGATCCTTATGGTTGGACCTCCATCATTTTGGCCTCCACGTGGTTCCACATGGACTCTAGATGCACCATGACTTCCTCCTCGTGAAGCCATGCCCGAAGGTTGCCCAGCCCGGTGCCTTCGGCGTTCCCTCCTCTCTTCACGCTCACGGTGATATTGTTGGAGCAGCGCCTCTATTCTTGCTAGGGAGTCATTCTCCCCCTCTTCATCGCTCACATCATCGTCATCCCCTTCGTAAGGGGTCTCAACCGGCTCGGTCCCCGGTTGGTAAGTCGAGTCCTCATAGGACCAGTAGGTTTCACTTTCTGTGTCGACATGACCGTCACTCACGGTCTGTGATCGGCCTCCACGGCCAGCTCCTCTAGATGCCCTAGAGGTCCTTCGACTGCCCTGTCCAGTCTCCTCTGGTACACGGCCGGTCGGGTTTCTCCTAGTAATCCTGCCACCACGGTCCATTTCTGAAAGAAATTGGGAAAGAGTCGTTAGACTCGTATCAAATGTCAATTGACGGATAGGTACTTAAGACACATTTTGGCTCGAGTCACTGCCATACCAATTGCTAAGGGTACCATCTTAACAATTAGAGACCTTGCAACCCAAGTACCAAAAGCTCTCCAAGTACAAAACTTCTATGCTCATGGTTTTCAAAATCTTTTCAAAAAGAGAATTTTGAGACTTCATTATGAAGTTTATGGACTAAGGCTCTGATACCAACTTAATTGTCACGCCCCGGACCTCCCCGGACACGTCAACAACCCGCCGTACAATACGAATAGTCAACCGCAGTCCAACACATTCATATTATACAAGGCGTCATGAATATCATTCACACATAAGTCATCCATAAACATACATAATAAACAATTGAATACGCAGCGGAAAACATTGTTTAAAACAAAAGGGCCACACAGGGCAAACATGAGCACGCAGGCTCTAAAGTAAAATATCCATGAGCAAGTTTAATATTATTTAAAAACAGAATGGAGGAAGCACGAACCAAGTCTTCTCTCCAAGGAATCACTCGATCAACGAGCACAGGAAGCAAGCTCTAGCCTCAACCTGAAATTGTGGTGGGACGCCCCCGAAGGGGTCAGTACTCTATACGGCTATAAAGTACTGGTGTGGCAGGCATCTAATAGATATACAACAAGTATTTCAAACACAAGACCCTCAAGTAGGGTGATAGTACATTATGATTGTAACCCTAAGTTACCCATTTGAAAATATACTTACTTTAGGTAAAAGTCAAGTAGTCGGCCCGTGGGCCCATGTTCATTTAGAAATCACCATTCCCATTTCCCGTGGCTACAAGCCACGATACTCAATAGAGTCCAACCCTAACACATGACATTGTATTCTAGAGCTCGGCTCTACTACATCACCATACAATTCATGTCACTCGGGTCAATTCCTTACCTTGCGTTCTAGAGCTCGGCTCTATTACATCACCACGCAAGCCCTAGAGCTCGGCTCTAGCTATACAATACATAGACTACAAGTCTACACCTTACATGCATTCTAGAGCTCGGCTCTACTACATCACCATGCATTAAGGTCCAATTCTCAAGCAACCCTATGCCTAGAATTGACATATCATTAAACTGCCATGGGTCATCCTTAAAGACTTCCCATAACTTAACCTTAGTTCCATACTAAGTTATTATATACACTTGAACTATATTCAAGCACCTTTCATACAATCCAATCCCTAGGATCAATTTAATCAATAAATCCCAATAATCATTAACTAGTATTTCAATACTATTAAGATTATTGCTATCAAACCATTATCCTTGTTATTTGTAATTCTCTACATATTTATAATTATGTAGCAGCAACTTAAACATTCATTCTCAATACACAAATATTCATTTATGTATCCACATAATTCATACATGAGAAAAGTGCCCATTTTCACAAATAGTTCATTTATACTCATTTAATCTCATATTATTCATACCTTCTCAAATCATTTCAAATTTCATTCTTTGGCAACTATATCAATATTTCATCAATATAAAATCATCATAATCCATGAAAAATCATGATTTAAGCATTTAGGTAATCTCATGCTTAACCTACAAGTTGTAAGCAATTAGATGTCAATCCTCACCTCATTTGAGCTTTAAACTTTCCCTTCTTGGTCCAATGGTCAAAGCTTTGGTCAAGGTGGAATTGGAACTGATTCCTTGCTCAAATATGAGTGTTAAACAGCCTCCTCAAAGTGCTAGTTCAACCCTTAATCGTTGATACGAAAACAGCCCCTAGAACGGGTGTTTCCCGGTCAACTCGTTTCCTAGTTTTTCCAAGATTTGTTCTAGGTTAGTATCTAACCTTTACATCAATAAAATAACTTTATAAGGACATATTATACACTTGGATTAGTGTATGATAGTCCCACCAATCGTTCATATCATTTGGAAAATGAAAAGTAAAGTTTTGGGGTTAAAACTCACTTTTAGAAGATTAAATCCTCTCCTGCGAGGTTGTGTTTTGCTCGGACGATTTGGAAGCCTTACACAACTCCGATTCCTTCAAACCAGACCTTCACGGATTCCTCGTCTTGAGAGCTTTCTGTGGGTATCTCACACGCCTTAATTGGATTTGTAAAACTCGAGATATCGACCAAACAGTCTCAGCACTCTCACAGCTCGAGTTCACAGACCTCTGCTCGTTCCAGCTCGATTTTTGTAAGATAAGCCTTCTCTCCTCGAACAAAGACCACTCAATTGAGATAATAGACTTCAAAGGCTATCCAAGGACATATTATTCACGTTGTTTGGTCGAGTATATCTTCTATAATGAGAGGAGACAAACAGCACACCAATTTGTGCGAAAATAAGGATGGTGGCCCAAGCTTTGATTCCTATCAAGTCATGTGCAGCTCCCCTCCATTATGGCCGGCCAAGGTAGGTCTTCTAACCCATTTTTATTTGTTTTGCAGGTACTAATATCATGTGGAGTGGTTCCCAATTGATCCCATTAAATTTGGGGTCCAAAATATCTACCAATACTTCCAAAAATGGGAAGATGGGTCCTATTGTTTTATCTTTGTCAAAGATGTCTTTTTGTACTCATCCTAATTTATTTAGAACAAGTCAACTTCCTAAATCACATTATTGATCTCCAATATGTGTAGGCTCATCCCAATAATTTACGTGATGGATATTTTAGAAGGAAAATCCTACTCCCATTATTTAGCTCAATAATGCCAAAGATGGGGTTATAGACATTTGTATTCTCCTTTAATCATTCTTTCACTATTTAGGTAATGTTGGGCTTTTTTATTTATTAATAAGTCCCGAGTAAGTATTTGCGAAACCCGACACTAATGTACGAGTTTGAACAGTACGATATTCAACCATGCACTACGTAGAACATTGATCGTTTTACAAAATGTTTGGGAATCGGAAATCCAATACATAAGCTATGAATATTCAAATCAAATTTCCAAGGACATTCGGGTGCGGTGTCACATTTATCCACTAAATATGGAGCACATTACAATTACACAAAGCAGAACACAAGTAGTAGACTAGTCTAATACAGGGATAATGTCTAATATAAAAAGGGGTGACATCGTCAAAACTATTGCGTTGTATATCAAAATCTAGGGGACCTAATTAACAAAAAGCAATACAATTACCTTACTCCCTTAAGCCCGCTCGCAATTCAACCTTCATAGTGCTGATCATATACCTCCTTTTCTTGTATAAACCAAAGAAAAATCCAAATAAATGATAGGACCTCATCGAAAATGTGGTAAAAATCCATAAGAGAGTCCGACTCTACAATAACATCAACCTTAAGCATGTATTGCTTAATTGATCATTCTTTTTTAAAGTTGAAAACTAAACACACCGGATGATAACTTGAATGAATCTAGGGAAATTTGATAAATTCAATGAATCTAGATTTTTCGTTAAATTTGATTGAACATTGGACAACAACAAACGGTAATTTGGGGTTAAGAGGAAAGTTTTCCAGCTCTTTCTACTAACTCAAATAATCTTGTCAACTACATTCTAACCTAATGTTTGATCACCTATTAACAAATGGGGGGGGGGGGGGGGGGGGGGGGAATCTGGAACTAATTGTAACTCAATCATAATTATTTTAGTTATAAACAATAAGTTACAGGTTATTAGGAATTGTCATAAACATTGAAAATAAAACGCACAACACGTACCACAGTCCGATAAACCCTACTCCAAAATCCAGTTTCACAATGCTCATCATCTGCATTTGTGACCTATGTAATTATGTAAAGCAAAACACAAAATAAATTTAAGCACACTCCCAACTAATCAAACCTAGCAGCAAAAATAAACCAAACAAGAACTTAACAAACATTTGTGTATAAGCTGGCATTAAGCGCTCAGCATACTATCCCATTCCTAATCACTCACATTTGGCACTTAATTTTTTATTGCTTATTCGATCATTTCTTATTGAAAATGAAAACTAACTCACTAGATGATCATAAACTTAGAAGTTTGTAGTAATTAATTGTGACTCACTACAATTATCAAGAATCAATTACATGTTATTAGGAAATTATAAGTTGTTAAAACCCGGGGTTCCATCTCAAAGGTCAACATGATTTGAGGAGTAACTCAAAGCCTTATATAGTGTTTTATTGCTTTATACTTACTGGTGTGGGACAAATACTTTAACACGCCTCCTCAACCCAAACCGGGCTGTACAATATCGGACTGCATAAATGATCCAAATAGACCCTTAACAAGCTACCCATAATCATGGGTACTAACACGCAGTAAAACCAAAACCGGAATTGACTCTGATACCATTTTAAGACCCGAGGGTTCATCCTAAAAGGTAAAATGATAGGAGGTGTAGCTCAAAGCCTTTTTTATCATTAACTAAAAGCCTTATATAGTGCTTTATTGCTTTATAGATTTCCGGTGTGGGACAAATACTTTAACACGCTCCCTTAGCCCGAACCAGACTCAACAATATCGGGGTGTATAAATGGGCCAAAAGAACCTTAACAAGCTACCCATAATCATGGGTTCTAACAAGCAGTCATACCAAAACAGGAATTTGCTATGATACCAACTTGAAGAAAAGAGTTTTATTCATTGATCGTAAATACAACAGTTGAGTACAATTTATAGGCCTAGGCTAACTTAATAAAGGAAAGAGTAACTATGTACAGGATCTTCTAATTAATACAAATTTCCTACTTGATTCTAGGAAATTAGATTATGATCAAGAGGAAATCAGATTATGATCAAGACAAATCTCATAATAATCAACTAAATATTATAATATTTCTACATTAACCTTATTATTAAATACCCTTAAATTGACAAAGGCATACCTCACTTTACGAAGAGCAAAATACGTAACTATCAATGAAGATTTTTATCATCATTTATCATAAAAATAAAAATGAAAAGCAAGACAATTACTTTACTCCCTTAAGCCCGCTCGCAATTCAACCTTCATAGCGCTGATCATATGTCTCCTTTACCTATATAAACCAAAGAACAACCCAAATAAATAATAGGACCTCATCGAAAATTTGGTGAAAATCCATAAGAGAGTCCGACTCTACAATAACATCAAACTTTTGCATGTATTGCTTAATCGATCATTCTTTTTTAAAACTGAAAACTAAACACACTGGATGATAACTTGAATGAATCTAGGGAAATTGGATAACTTCAATGAGTCTAGATTTTTCGTTAAATTTGAATGAACCTTGGGCAGCAACAAACGGTTATTTGGTGTTAGGAGGGAAGTTTTCTAGCTCTTTCTACTAACTCATATAATCTTGTCAACTACATTCTAACCTAATATTTATATTTTCAGTAAATTCATATAAAATAAACTAAAAGAAATTCATTAAAACTATTTTCATATTTTTAATATGTTTTAGATTTATATGTAAAATTACACACACACTTGCATATATGTATATATACTTCATATTATTTTATTCTAGAATCATATACTGCGTACTATACTTCATACTAATTGTATGCAACATAAAAACTTTGTACTATATAAAAGTTATAAAATGTAAATAGCTAGGGACTACTACATTATGTTTATATGTGTGTGTGTGTTTAATTTACCCTGTAATATAAAAATTGTCTTATTATATTATAAATAGACATCTATGTTTTATATTATGAACTTGTACATTATTTTATTTTATTTTTTCTCTATTTTTTAACTTCATATTTTTAATAGCAATTTGGACACTTTTCATCGGTTGAGGGGGTAAATTGAACAACTTTGTCGGGTTCAGGGGTCTATTTGACCCCTTAGATTTCCACGTGGGATGCACGGTTGGCATTTAACCAGCTGACGTGGCAATGACCGGAAACTCACCTGCAAAAAATAGGATTTGAACTTTTTTGGCGAGTTCAGGGAGTGAATTTGAGCTTTTTGAGTTCGAATTGAGCATTCCGAACAGGTACAACGTCTATTGTCAAACTCTTCAAAGAAGGAATGGATAAACAAACACACTTCAAGTTCATCCACTCGCAAGTCGCAATCTAATACAGCCAATTCTTGAGCTGTGTGGGGCAACCAGAGAACAGTCCTTGGGTTGAGGTATCATCATGGAATGTGACGAGACAGAGGTGCAGGGGTTTAAGGCATGGAAAAGAGAGAATCAGGCAGTTCAAGGACGCAATTCATTTCTAGTTTTAGAACTGCAAGTCATTAACTATAAAAAAGACATCGGGGCAAGGAAAAAGGTTCCTCAACAAAGAGGCAAAGGTCAAGCTCTTGAACATTATCTTTGATAGCTGATGATAGCCATGCACACACACGAGTGCCAGTGAAACAAACACGACAAGAAAGCAAGAAAGGCAAAACTTTTGAATAGTAGGTGTGTTCCTATGCTGAAGCACTGTTTGGACGAAATGCATAAAACAGATGACTTTTAGTGGATAACCAAAAACACAGGTAGAGTACTTGGGAACAATGGTCCATAGGTTTTTCAACCGTGTAGACAATATGCACGTTGCTACTGCATCTGTGGTGGGAAGAAATGAAAGAATGTGATAAAGAATGTCATCAGGTAACTGGCTGATCATATCTTCACCATCATCACTCTTGACCATCTCAGACACCTTCCCGGGTTTGAAATTGCCCATTATCTCCTTCACTTTCCCTAAGAATACATAAGGAGCAATTATTGTAGGTTAAAATGGAAATTTTAACCTATCACCTAGGTATAACTAAAACATGTGCTTTTTCCTTAAAACAAATGACACCCATCCCTAAGGATCCCAGAACCGACCGAACAGTTATCCGGGAGGTTATAAGTTCAGCTTTGATCACACACTCATGATGGAAAGAGTGAGATTCCATTCCGAGTTTGTGCTTGGAATTGAACCCGGAACCTCTCCGGCTCTCCCATGGGACACCCCGGTAGCTTTTTCCTTAAATATGACTACCAGGACACCTTTTTAAGAGCTTTTTTATTTAATGATCTCCTTTATCTATGAACAAACACTATGAAACACCTTATCAATGTCTCTATATCAATGGGGTCCCAGTGGGTCCCACATTCAAACTCATATATTACTTGCTCCGCCCTTATTTCTTTGTCCCATAATGTTTAGCATGAATGTAATGGGGGGATATACAGATCATCTTCTTTCTGGCCATTCTATCTGCTTTTCTGAATCTTGCTTCTTATTCATTGATCTTGGGTTTATCACATAATCTTTGCCAGAACTAATGTGAATTACCCTCGTAGTATTTAAATTAGTTTTACTATTCAACTGAA